GGGGGGGGGGGGCATCACACAACCGCGTGTTACGTGGACGCGCTGGCTCCCTGTGAGCCAGGCCGAGGGTTTGACGCTGGTCCTCACTGTCCCAGTCGTCGGTAGTTACTTGGCTGATTGGATTTACGACGTAACAAGCTCAGAAGATGCCTCATCATGTAAAACTGTAGCTCAACAGGAAAATACACATGATTGTTGTCAGATATAACAAGACCCCTGAGATGTGAAACGCAGGACTCACTTGTGGAGTTTTACATTGGTATATTTGTACTTCAGCTGAAGTAAACGGTCTAAATACATCTTGTAACAGATTTAACTTTTACTGTCCACAGTATTTGAACCAAATATCTGTCCTCACATTACACCCTCTTCTCATAAATCACAGACCTGCACATTCATAATGCAGAGGTTGTTCAACACACCAGTGATCCTTCACCTTCAGTGGAACAAAGACTCTTCCTTGAATATTTAACATGGGCCTAGATATTTAATATAGAAACTACACCTATATGTGATTTCTACGACTTCTTGCTCGAATTATGCCAAAATATGATAACACAGATTTTAATATTCATGTGTGCTGCCTACTGGACCCGATGGTTAAGGACATTCTGAACATTATTGACTCTTAATTTAACCCAGTTTGTACGTAGGCCCACATGTTAAAGGCCAAACTCTGCTTTTGCTTGGTGTCTGTGTGACGTAGGGATTTCATCTGTCTATTTTATTTGATGTTGTCATTTCTTATTCTCTAACTACTTCTAGTGCCTTCCCTGTGACGTTGCTTCATTATTCCTTAAACAGCTGAATTACTTTCCTCTGTCCATAATAACTTACAGCCTCATATTTTATTGGGTGTTTATCATGAGACTGTAGTTAGAAAGGTGCAATATTAATACATTTTGCTTGCTTGTACACTGTGGTTCTGAAGCACAGACTGAACTGAAGCGGCTCTGACACATTGATCAGTAATCAGTTATTGATCTGCTGCAGCTCACTGTGTTCTCTGATGTCATCGCAGGTCGGCTTCTATTTTTAAATGTGTGAAAAAGAAGAAGCTCTACAGCTTTTGTTTCTATGGCGATGGGGGATAAAAATACACCGTCCCTAAGCAACAGCTGATCGACCAATCAGATCCTGCCACAGGTGAGAGTTTTTGGTCCAGTTTCACTTCTTTGCTGTCTGGCTACGGTTGGAAGGCATGGTGGGAAATGTAGTGAGCTGCAAACCTAAGTGACAGTGATTATGATGACAACCAAAGCGGACGCTGAGTTTCCTCTGTGGTGGTGAACATGTCCTGCTTCATTCTAATTTAACTTAAAACGTCACACTTCTACAGAGCTGTAGGAAAAACGGTCACGTCACCGGCCGAGGATGACTACTGTCCCTAAGTCTGAGCTTCTCTCTGGTTTCACTTCATCATATAAACTTTACAAGACAAAGGGACAATATTATGAGAATAAACATGTTTCTCTCCTCAGATTTTTGTCTGTGCAGAAACGTGCTCACAAAGTAAGAAGAATTTACAGGAAATAATAATAATGATGATGATGATGATGATGATGCCACGGTGTCAGACTTGTATTTTGTTGCCCAGTGACCATGTCTCCTCTGTGTGTACATGTCGTGAGTCCTCTGGACTTTTTCTACTGAAGTAAATATATGAATCTTGTGTCCTGTTGAAGCTGCTGTCAGAGACCAGAGAAGATACTCCGTTTCCCAGAATGCCTCTGGTCAGCTGGCTCCTCAGGTCTCTGCTGACACCTGCAGACCAGGACCTGTTAGTGCAGGTTTGTGTGAGTGTGGCTGTGCAGACGGTGTTTCTGTTGAAATGTTCACATTTAACATCATTGTTTTATTATTGTTAGTGGGATCAACTAGATCAGACTAGTAACTAGATCTAAACCTGGTCACTTGTTCTAAAACGTGGTCCACTGAAGCTTCATGTCGGAGAACAGATTCTGGCAAATGAATTCAGAACCAGACCCAGAAGACTTTGAGCCTGTTCACATGCAGAGCTGTGATTGGTGGAAAAAGATGTTTATTTACAAAACTTTACGCTTCCATCAATGAAAAACAGACGTCTATGTACAAAACGTGTTAACACAAAACTTTGGATTTTTTTTTTTTTTACTGTGAAACACAAAGAAGACAACGTCACAACAAAACAACCAGACATTCACCAATCAATAATCAATAGGATGTCAGCTGTAAACTCACCATCAGTGAACGCTGCTCGCGTGGCCGCGGAACAGTTAAAGGGCCATTCCGCTCTTTTTCTTGCATGTGAGGAGAAACATTCTTGTGTATCAGATGTTTTGTCCTCAGCGTGCACGGCCCCGCGGACACAGACGTGCTCTGTGGCCGCTCTGCCTTTTGTTCTTCTGCATCTTTTTTATGTTGCTTGTGTCTGTTTGTGGTTGTTTTGGTCTGTTTACTGGTCAAATGTTGTCAAACTGTGCTGGACACTGTCTCTGGTGACACGTCAGTCTCCAGACTGATGCAGGGTTGTGAAGTAGACCGGACTAAAGCATGAAAAACAGTGGTTTCATCCTTTAAAGGGGATTAAACTGTAACGGCTGGTCACACTGGAGGCTTAACAGAGCAGAGAGCTGGTGGTTTTCTCTGGTGATTTCTTACTGTGCACCAACCCCGTCCAGAGA